TCGAACGTTGTTTGCCATGTGTCAACGCCTCTGAAGTCTCGAGTCCAATATCGATTCAATAGGACCAACTAATCGATTCTTCTGCGATACTCGCGCGGCAGTGTGGCATGGCGTATACTTCATTCACAGGCAAACAACTCAAACGCCATAACCTTAACTCATGACTGCGTTTCTTTGAAGTAGATATTCCTCATTTTTAAGCGTTTTCAAACAATTTTCAAATAAAAATGAACAAACCCATTTGGGTATACCGATCAACAATGGCGCTGATGGGAATGGGGCAAGGCGATAGTAATTAACACCACGCACTCAGCGCGGGGGGAAGAGCAAGGGAAAACATCAAGATTGTTAACATCCCTCCCTCAGCATTCCTCTCCTCTCTAAGGCTTGAGTGACCGAAAGTGCTGTGGTGGCGGCTCAACCCACTTAGTATGCCCCCCAACTAATGAGCGCCAAAAAAATACGGACTTTGCTATGATGATTACCGCCATTGAGCATGATCATTGAAGCACAGGAGGTCAAAAAATCAAGTTGAGCCCAGTACGGTAGGCTATCCGTGATTTTTACGAGTGGAGGTAGTTCAGACAGTATTGGACACCCAACTTCTTACTGTCACTGTCAGATAACCTCGGTCAATCCGTAAAGAACACTGGACTGCGCATCTTGAATGGCTGAGCTTCGCGCTACAGACGATCGTTCTTGATTATTAACTACCCTGGTACTGGTCTATGTAATCTCAAGGTGAGTACGTGGTTTTTTACCGGCTTCCTGTGCGGGCACTTAGCACGCGCGGAAGTGTCGCCGAGCCTGGCACAAGGCCAGCGCATGGTCTCGTCGTATAAAAACGAAGGCACCGCCCAACGCCAACAATTGAAACCATTCGTCTGACCTGCTTAGCCAGAACCATCTCGTGGTGCCAACCGCTTGGACGATGGTCGAGAATCCCGTGGCGGACGGCAGTGCAGGTTAGTGACGGTGATCTATTGCCGCTTCTGTAGGGCATTGTCCAGGTGAACTTCAAGGTCAACCAGTGGCCAGCTGCGCAGTGCTTTGGTCGTCCTCCACGGACGATTATCGCCAACTGATGGCTGCTGGAATGCGGAAATCTTAATGCCAGTGGTTCGAGAAATGTAGCGGAGAAGTCGGTCGATCAAGTTGAACCCTTTGAGATACGCCATGCATTTCGCCTCCCTTCGAAATCGTACACGTTCTGAGATGCGTGCCCGTCGATAAAACGACTTGCGGCCAGAAAAGGGTGCTACTTAGTTGGGGGGGGGGGACCACGCGGCGGCGCGGCGCTCTGTTCGTCTGCTCCTCCAAGGCTTAGTCCGCCGATGGCGCGTATTTCGAAACTGCCACGTGGCGACGAAATAGTAACTGCCCCTTGGACTAAGCCTTAGAGGAGCAGACGAACAGAGCGCCGCGCCGCCGCGTGGTCCCCCCCCCAACTAAGTTAGCTCCCAGAAAAGTCCACAATTGGTGTTTCGCCTCCGTCATTGAACCATTTCAGCCGAATCATCCTGTAATAAGATCAGCCGCAGTCAGCGCTACTTTAAGCGCGCTCAGAAAAAAGCAGACTGTATGTCGGTAATCCAGAATCCTTCGCAACACTACTGCGCCCATTAATGTTTTGTTATTTACGACGTCGTTGAAACACCTATAAATCTATTCCTGTACGGTAGCAGAGGAGTTTACTGTAGGAACTGGTGTGGTTACACCAAGGACGATACACCTGTAAACTCGGCCAATTAAGTGGCGAGAATGGGATTTTGTGCCAGTTAATGGGCTATACAACCCACGTGCCAAGTCAATTATTCAATTTGTGGATCGACAGTGGATGCGGTCACGCGGTGGTTGAATCTGCTCTAAATCACATGACAAATGATAAAGTGATGTTTCAGAAAGAAGTCAATTGTTAATCAGCATTAGTACATAGTTTGTTCCGAAAGGAAATGAAACTTGCCCGACTGCATTGCACCGCACGCATCGGAGGGTCGACGGACTACTTGATCCTTTAAGCTGCCTCAGCCCGACGCTTTCGTCTGGCTCTCGCACTTATAGCGCGCTTATCACCATGGATTCAGCCATTAAAATTTGCATGCCCATTGGATACTCCATCCGGATTCCTCTCTTACAGGTTAGTCCCTAATGCTTCAGCTGCGTTGGGATGTGGAAGCCGAGCAAGTGCGTCGTTTCTGTCGTCTTGTGCTCTCCGCTGTCGTTGGCAGAAATGACGAAAAGTGCAAGTAGGCCGTAAACGCATCGGAGACCTGCCAATTAGCCAGAATATTGCGGAAAATGGGCAGTATTTAACCTATACTCTGTTATGCAGCCAGAAATCCACGTGGCACACGTGGCTAAATTCTCGATGAAAAGATGACATCACGTGTGCTCAAAGATGTTCTTGAATCGATGCCACGTCAATGCCACGTCAATTTCTGCAATTGCACAACTTCTGGTCTTGAAGGCGAGGTTATTTAGTGCCGAAAATGACATGTCTAAAAACAAGTGTGTGGGGGAGATTGGAGGAGGGGAGAGGACCAACGCGGCTGTTGACATCTTCACAGTGCACTAAGCCTGAGCTAGGAATGGAGAAAATGCTATTTTTAGTGATTATCGATGTCTAGAACACATTTTAAGCCTTGGAGCCTCCTTCTTGTTGTGCTTCTAGTTGGTACATCGTTGACAGACGCACCCCCCCCCTCCAGTCACTCAGCACGCTTCCGCTTTTTCAGGCAGGCGCTCCTTTAATATTTACAATTTTGCACAAAACTCACGATCAGAACTCGCTCGGGTAAGACATGCAAACTCGTCCCCACACTTTGTTTCTTCTTTTGGGAAATCGACCATACTCTTTCTTCCAGTTTATTTTATTCTAGTGCTGTTTAGCGCATGAAGTTACAGCATTTCCCGATGATTCCCCATCTTAGTCCTTAGTCCATCTTAGTCCCCCCCCCCTCCAAAAAAAACGCACCAGAGACATTGCTAATCAGGTTCCCATCCAAGAGCCTTTACATGAAATAAATATATAATAAACAAATACCCTCTAGCCTTCTAAAACTACTGCTTTATGCAAAATTTCAATATTTAACAAAGAGAGTGAGATAGATAGGATCTTACTGTGGTATATTGCGAAAGCTGCAATCGAGGAGGAAGTTTCGCGAACGAGACGACCACCACCGCGCGCGACGCCGCACGCCGCACTGCGGACGTTCCGTCACTTCACGCACGGCTGTGGCGCGTCATGGTCGTGGGATTCAGCTGACTTGTCAGCGCTTCTTCCCATTTCTCCATTTACCGTCTATTCAATTTCCTTCTGCCTGTCCTGTCCGGTTTCAAATGCAACATAGTGCCTAAATTTTTAATGAATCTATCGATTTTACGTTTTTTCTGGATATTGCCATGTGTCATAATGCTGGATATTCTTAGAAATGGCCACTGAAACGCGGACTCTAATGTGCCTGAATTGTCAGAAGAAGATGAATGTTGAAGTAAAGGTC